CCCGGCCGAGGGTACCACAGGGCGACCGTGGGGACGAAAGCAGGAGCCTTGACATTTAAGCCGTCGGAGCGGCAACCTGGGACTGTATGTTGTTAATGGCTCTAGATGGACCTCGGAACATCCTTCTGTCCCACTCTGCAGCGGGCAGGCCTGCCTTTTATTTCCAAGTCCATGGGCAGAATGGAGGGATGACATGTTTGCACCCTACCAGGGAGGTTGTCACTTCGAAGCCACCGAATGCTATCAGTGTGTGTGTGTCCACAGGAGTACCTAGTAGTAGTTTTGCTTTTCAGAGCAGGTATCCAAGGCTAAGGGCTTGGAGGGTATCTAACCTTTTAAAGCTTTTTTTCAAGAATTTTAGGCTTACTCTCTGTAGAAGAGGTATAGTCTTCAAAATGGAGACCTAAGTGCACTGATGGATAGAATTTAAATTAACACTTTGGCTATACTCTGATCAAAGTGAAAACAAACAAAAAAGTTGGTGTTATCAGATCACTCAATAGTTCAATTTTCTTGCGTTTAGAGGGGGAAAATGTGAGATAAAGATTAGCCAATGGTTATTTGATTGAAAAGGATTTATCTGATGAGACAAATATACTTTCTACCAATTGAGTTTATATGTCATCTTCCAATTATATCAGTCTTTGTGCGTGCATGTTTCTGTTGTGTGTTGAGATGTTTATGATGGTGCCTTCATATTTCCTTCTGAGTACAGAACAGCAGCCTTCACTAAGAAGTTCCACACCCTGTCCCCTGCCCCACCCTGTTATTGCTGCTGTCCTGTGGAACACCAAGATAGCTCTTGGCCCTGTCTGTTCCTCCTGATGTCCTTTATATTTAATAAGCTTAGTTACTACTCATCAGTCTGTATCTCTTGCAAGGAAGCCCTATCTTACCACCCAGCTCTTGCTACTAGAGAATATTCTTAGGCTTTTGTACTAAAGTAACCCCAGTGAGTAGTATCACATTTCTTATTAGCATAATACATTTCCAATAGTGGGCAGCATAGAGCAGGTGGAGCCTAGACAAGACATGTTAGAGGCATGCTGACAGTTTTACAATAGCTATTCTCTAACTAATTTGATGTAAAGTACAATATAGCTCAGAGTTTTCAAGCATTAATGAAAAGCATTCCCTTAAAAATTACAGCAAGAGTGAACATTGTCCAAACCTTTGTATAGTTTACTGTTCTGGTGAGAAATGTGACAAAGACTTATCCTAGGGGGAAAAAAAAATGCAAAGTGTTGTTCTTAATAGTTACTACAGATCCTAGGCAGAGGCTCCTGTCATGTGTATCTTTGTCTCTTACCATCTGTTTTGTTTGCTTCATCAAGAATTATGGTAAAAATTGCCTTTCAATGCTACTTCAAAAACCATATCCAATTTCAAATCAGGCATGACAGGTATTTGATTTCAAGAGGTGAAATAAGTGGGGAACTGGCATGTCAACTCAATTTTGGACTTTTGGTTTTTCTAAGGTCTATAGAAATAACGGTTTGGTTGGTTGAACACGGCTTGTGCAGTTAAATTGTTTCTTTGAAGATAATGTTGAGAAGCTACTGTTAGTGAGATGTGAGAAGGTTTTGGGGGCTTGCTGCTCTTGCTGGAAACTGCTGCAATTTTACCTGTGTGCCACCTTGTCTCATTTGATAATTTGATTACAACTTCAAGTAATAGATGTATCCTTTCCCTTCTGATGGTGAGACTTGGCAGAATTAACGACAGCATTGAGGTGAAGAAAGGGTTTTTCTACAAAGGAGGATGTTTTACTGTAGGCAGATCTCTTGACTCTTCAGCTGACAGGCTTCCAGATGGTTTGACACAAAGGATCTGGTCAGCTTTGGGAGATTTTTATTCCTTTTCACTAGAATCTAGAAGTTAGTCTCTATACAAAAACGGTGTGATTTTATTTCAAACTAAATGTCATTTTCAATTTGAAAACTTTAAAAGATTTAATTAAAATATTCAGTTGTAGGCAGTTATAATAATACACCCTGGAGGTAGCATTGCCATGGGCTTTGACAGAAAGCATTGGCCTTGGTATTTAGGTCACTTCTCTAATCCTGAATTTTTTCAAATAGTTACAGGTTTAATGTGATACATTTATACATTCTTAATTATTTCTTTTGGAACACTGAAACTACTTGTACAGCTTAGCATTTTTATTGTTTATTTTATTTAACAGCATCTATGTTTGGGAAGGCATAAATACTAGGATATGTAGCTATTTATTTTTGCCAGTGTAGATTACAGGCTACTGAATGTCTGACTTGGTCAAGAGGTGGAAAGGGAAGGACCTGACCCTTCAGGAGATCGTGTTCTGGCACTAGGTGCCCTAAACTTCCAGCTGTAGAGGGCTTCGATGAAATATTTAGACCTCAGGGTTCTTAATTTTTAATTCTTCAATAGAATCTTTAACATAGAGTTAACATTCAAAATTTGTTTTCAGGCAGGCCTGTAGCTCTCAGCTGTAATCTCAGCCTAGGATACTGAGACAGGGTTGTGAGTTCCATGACAGCCAGAGAGCTACATTGTGAGGCCCTGTCACAAACAAGACAAACCAGAATTCTTTTTAGGGACAATTAAATATGATTCTTATAAAATAGAATCATGGCATCATGTCAGCATTGAGGTCACAGTTTTGGGGGGTTAGAATTTACTCAAAATTTTGTGATATTCATAGTACTTCAATCGTAGTCTTTATCTAATGATTAACTTTATTTAAGGGGCTGGTAGGGGAATGTTTGGTGATTATTATACACACACACATACACACACCCTACTGAGCATTGTTTCAATGAATTTTTATTTTCTGTTTCAATTTTTTGGTACATTGACTCCTCTCTACATTGCACTTTGCTATTAATTTAAAAAATTAAATCCAAAGACATATTAATTTGTACTTAATGTAGACTTCATTCTTGACTAGCTGTAAAGCTTACGGTGTAGGCAGTCACATTGGCAAACAATAAAACAGGATTAAGCTGAAATGCAAAACTGTAATGAGTCCCATAAAGCTCTAGATTTTGTCACTACATGAGTCAGAGTGGTGTAGACTTATAATAATTTAATCTATTTAACACTTCGGTTTCCCTGAGACCTTGATGACCTGGTCATCTGCAGCATTACAGTGGAAACCCTGTGAAGTCCACTGTAAACAAAAATGCAGATTTCAAAGTACTGTAAGATTTTAAGTCAAACTCCCTCTTATGATCAATACTGATTACAGTAACTGTTAACATCAGTGATTATTGCTGTGTTGGTCTGTTTCTAATGTTATTCTCCTGAGCCCATTTAAAGACCCTTCTTCCTTAGGGTGCTAAGGTTCTTAGGGGGTTTAATGAGGGCCCTCTTTCTATGGAAAGTAAAAAGGAACTTCCCTTTCTGTGGAGTATAAGGACTTGACTCTCTTCCCATTGAACTGACTGCCACTAACTGCCACTTGTTAATCTTGGTAGTTGGGGCCACCAAAACTAGTAGTACATGACTTACTGGGTTGGTACTATTGCACATAGGCCCCTTCCTTCCCTATCTGTTTTCTGTGTGGATTTCTAAAGACTTGAGATAGCAGTGTCTTCCCAGCTAGCTAAGAGATTCAACTTGTAATCTGTGTGTGAGTTGGAGGTGTCCATGAGCCTTGTGAAACAAGACAGACATTTGCATTTTCCCACGGAGAAGGGCTCGATCCATGGATGTGGGCATTTTAGAGGGTCCAGCAGTATGTACAAACTTCAAGCTACTTACTAAAGACAAAGACACAGGAAGCTTAGTCACTTCAAATGCCCCTTTCTGTTTTTGAGTGGTATTGGTCTCCTGGGAAAAAAAGGAAAACACACACACACACACACACACACACACACACACACACACACACATTTTGAGGCTTTAGCTAAGGATAACCACTTAGTTTATAATTTGAAATAATTACAATTAGCAAGGGTATGTTTGTAGAGAATCTATGTGCCATAATTCTTGAAGGTTTATTTTAAAGGCACCTAGACATTATTTTGGTTTTCCCTCTGGAAAATGTATGTATATAGGATGGCACTAATTAAAATTTCATTTCACATACCATTCTTTGATTAACTGGGAATACCTAAAAGTACATATGAATGTAGTAACAGGAATAGTATATTGTGTTCATGAATAATGAATGTATGGTTGACATTCAGCAAAATGTGTCCTGTGATGTGGCCAGGTCATGTTGCTTTTATTGCTTGTGCTGGGGCATTATCCCAGATTTGCTTTGTAGAGTTAATTTGCAGAGTATTTTTATCCCTCATCAAGTTTTTGTACTTTGTCTGTGGCCCAGTGTATAGTTGAAGCCTTTTTTTTTGGCAAGCTCTCATGCTATATAGCTCAGGCTGGCCTTGAACTCTCTATTATCTCTCCCAGTCTCTTAATTGCTGGATTACAGGGGGACACTGGCACAGCTGGTCATAATTGCCACTGTAACTGTAGTGACAGTAATTCAAAAAGGGTTTTATTTTTTTTTGAACTGTTTGTGTGTGTGTGTGTGTGTGTGTGTGTGTGTGTGTGTGTGTGTGTGTGTGTGTTGTACATGTTTACAAAGCTTTTTGATGTATATAATTTGGTATTTTTGTTTTCTGTTGTGCTGGAGCATGAACTCAGCTTACTACCTGAAGTACCCTGCCAATAGTCTATACTCCTAGCATGTTTTTGTTTGTTTATGTTTGATTGGTTGGTTGGTTGGTTGGTTTGGTTTTTGAGACAATCTTTCTCTGTAGCCCAAGCTGATATGAAACTTTTGATCTTCCTGCTTCATCTACCCAGGTGCTGGGCTTATAGGTGTGTTCCACCATGCCTTTTAAAACATGCTCAAGTTCAAATGTGAGTAAATTTGACGTGCCTTTTTCGGTTATTTAGATCCTTATATGAATAATTATTGATGCTTAAAAGCAACAACTCCATGCATTCATGGGTAGAAGAGTAGTTAGCATCTACCATATCTTCTATGTAACATTAAGATTTTCTCCTTTGATGCCAGGTGGTAGTAGCACACCTTTAATCCCAGCACTCAGGAGCTAGAGGCAGGCAGATTTCTGAGTTTGAGACCATCCTGTTCTATAGAGTGAGTTC